TTTGGTATGCTATTTTTTAATAGATATGGGCATGCATATCATAGCAAGAAATTTTGTGTGCAAAGTTTTTGGTTAGCTTTCGTGACCACCATAGTTTTTTCTTTTATTCACATGATGTGCATTTCTAGAATTTTAATATTTTTGTGTGACGATAGTTAAAAAAGAATCCTTTAGGAAATAGAGGTCATGGTTTGTATATTTTTGTTCAAAATAATCATTGAAAATAGTGATAAGATAAGGTTCCTAAAATAAACAACAAATTAGTTGCGTAAAAAACGTGCGTGATACTTTGTATATTATTTAGAGATGCACATTATTCATTTTTTTTCATGTGCGTATGTTGAAAGTTTTGGCAAATTGGTCACAGAGCTTTTTGCCATATAAGGGTATGGAATCTTTTCTATCTTACACGAATACAAAATTGTTTTTCACCCTCTCTCTAAGAGCAGTTCCACCAGGGACTCTTTAGGCTGACACCCAGCCAATCCACTCCAGCCCAGCATATAGGCTGGCACCCAGCCCAAGTTGGTCTCTAGGCTAGCCTAGAATCGATAGAGCCATGGACCAGCCCATCTGACGTCATGCTGACACCAGCATGACGTCGACCACCTTTTTTTTCTTTTGCGCTAGAGAGGGAGTTGTTGTGGAGGTTGAGGAGCGAAGCTGGTCGAGACAGGAGAAAGTGTTGGGAGGGAAGGAGCCAAGGAGGGAGAGGAATATGAGCACCTAAAGCGCACCCATCCCCTCCCCTGAACCAACGCATACCACTGCAGCATCTCTCGGACTGCCAATACCCATCACCAACCCACCCCAAAAATTCTACCCAACAGACGCAGTTCCAAATCCGAATGGAGAGAGAAAGAGAGAGAGAGAGAGAGATGCAAATGGAGGTTGACGCTTTGGGAGTGGCAAGAGTTGGTGTTTGGGGATGATCGGAGAAACAAATTGAGGAGGATGTAGAGGGAGAGTATAAAGGGTTCTAGTGGAACCGTGGAGGTGCTAGACTTACCTTTTTTTTTTTTTTTAATAATAAAATTATTATTTTTATTATTTTATAGTAAAAAATAATAATATTTTAATAAATTTGACTAGGCTATTTTTTGTTAGAGGTGGAGATGCATTTGATCTATTACTGTTCATTAGGGTCTATCACTATTCACTGAGTGGATTAAATAGGCTGGGTGCTGGCGCATTTTTTTAGGGGTGGACTTGCTCTAAGGGTACACTTCTGCTACATTGCATGAGTCACCAAAGTTGTATATCTATTTCTAGCCAAGGCATAGAAATGGGAATTAGATCCTCACCGAGGATCCTCCTGACCCACTAATACAGATCGTTGGATTTTGATCAAACAGCTACAATTATTATAACAATTATTATAACTTTTAAAGAAACATTCCTATTTGTAACCGTTGGATTGATCCAACGGTCCGTATTATTATGTTAAGAGGATCCCGAGGATTTGCCTCAGGAGAGGATCCAATTCCATAGAAATGTATCATTTTCCCATTTGGTCTTACAGGAACATATCTTCTTTTAGCCAAAGTCAAATCTTATAGAAATGTATCATTTTCAGCCAAGACATAGAAACGTATTTACCTCTCCACAAGATCTTGGGAATATAAAGCTTTTAGAAAGTTATTGTACAAAAAATAAAGCATCCATGAAAAAGAAACGCAGGTACCAAATTTCATACCACACTCTCAGTATGTTAATTTGTTTTTGGATGGCTTGAAAAAGAAACGCAGGTACCCGTTTTATAGCACAAATAGTTGGATACTTGAGAAAGAAAATTTTCAACTACTTATATTATGACACTTGAAATATCATATCATGTTTTTGACACAATGAAAATTACTCAACATAAAGAAAGCCAAAAGTTGTTCCTTAGATTTTGCGTTAACGAGTCTTTTGGTATCCTTGGAACATCTCATCCATTACCCAAAAGATATAGGGTACCTCATATCATAAAAGGGTGTGATATTTACATACATCATTTTACTTTTCACACACCCTTCTAATTTTCGGTCGTCGGATAGGATGAATTGAAGAAAATCAACGGATAGAAATTAACAAAGGATGTGTAAGAAGTAAAATGAGGTGTGTGGATAGCACACCCCTATCATAAATATTTTATTAAAACGGAACAAGGTTTGGAATTGGCTGCTTTACTACTTTTATTTGATGTGATAGACAAATCTAATTGTTGACTCTCTTTATTGTTTCAATTAATGTTCTCCGGCACTCTTCTCCCTTTGTTTTACTCTAGGGTCTCATAACACCTTAAATGACTTTCCGTCAAATCACATCATGCTCCCATATTTTTATTACTTTTCCTTGTTACCATCACTGCTGCCATCTCTCCAGATGTTATTGCATATCTAGATGAAATGAGGAATGACATTTAGTTAATCAAGGTTAGAGTGGATGTCATTCAATGTGATTTGAGAGAAACAAATACTTGTATAAAAATGATGAAATATCTTAGAGAATAAATCAAGAGTTGCAGCATGCTGACAAATACTTAAAAATCTGAAAAATTGAACGGCCACAATCTATTTCTTTCTCTTGAACGGTCTGAATCTCTTAATCGGCGAGTTATGGGCACATAGATCTGAAGTGGATCTTTCTGACTATAGGCACGTCCAAACTCTAACGAGTATATTTTTTGGGTTTTGCTTCCATAACCTCTAAAAGAGTTTTTTTAGTAATTAAAAGCGTTTATAACGTCCATTCTTTTTAGTATAGATAATATTATTTGTTCAAGAAATGAGCGTTTACAACGCTTAAAGTATTTATGTTACATCCTAGTCTCAGCTCCACCGTAGCACGATATTGTCTGCTTTGGGCCCCGGCCACGCCCTTACAGTTTTGTTTCTGGGAACTCACACAAAAACTTTTCAAAGAGGTCACCCATCCTAGGAATGCTCTCGCCCGAACTTGCTTAACTTCGGAGTTCCGATGGAATCCCAAGCTAGTGAGTCCCCAAAAAACTTCGTGCTATATAGAGGTGAGCATGTACATATAAGGCACATCACCCTCTCTTTGTTAGTCGATGTGAGATGTTACAATTTCTGTCATAAAAGCATTTTATGGGACATAAAAGTATTTCCATGTGACCATGTGTGATTGGATACTTCAAATATCAAAGCATCACATTCTTTGACAGAAGCTCATTGTGGAGAAAATTTTCAGTGTGACCGGTATACGGGATGGTACACCATGTGTCACTATACAAATGGTGGGATATGTGTGCTAAAAAGTTAATAACTTAAAAAATAAAATTTCTCACCACTCATATTAAAACACGTGATGTACTATTTGTGTTTCGGTCACAACTAAAAATTTCTCCTCATCGTGGCATTGGAATCACATCTCCAACTTAAAGAGTTTTTCAAATTTTATGACGAGAATTTCCGTCCAATCGAATCAAACCAAATAAATACCAATTAAATTGGGCTTTTGTATAAAATTAGCGAATAAAGTTGGGATGTGAGAAGGTTCCAGAGTTATAACATCAAGGTCAAAGTTTCTTAAAAGTGAAAACTAATATAAAAGTTGAGAAATACATGGAGGATTCTTTTAAAAGTGGAATTTTTTACATCTCATGTCTTCACCATAAAGTTTTATAACGTTGATATAGAAATTGACGTTAAATTATGAGATGACGGAAAGTTCATAGAAATGCTCACTTTGAGAGGGCCTCTTTGGCATTTCTCAAAAAAGTTTTGGGAATGTTTTTGCTCCTCCCCTTGCTCATCACCCTATTTATAATCGGTTAATAAGTTTAACTTTCGAGATTCGTGCGGTAAATAGACATAAATATCAAAATTTAAACTCATCCAAAACACAAATTTCAAAATTTAAACTTATTCAATGGTAATAAATAGGATGATGAGAATTACCACTACTTAAAGGTGATTAACAAAAATGCACCCAAAAGGTTTTCATAATTTTTAAGGAGAAGCTATTAATTTGGTCATGCAAAAGAGAAGACCAAGAAAAATTTGTTGCATCTTGTCTTATCCCATCCGAATTTCATGCTCATCCAAAGTTAACCAAATTAAAAATTCAAGTTCAAATGATTCTTATTTTAAATCAAAAATTCAAAACAAAAAAAAAAACTTCATATTTTACGGCTCGTTTGAGAGTGGAGGCACATTTGTACATCAGTGCTTTTGTAAAAAGTAGTTTTGCTAGGAAAAAGGTTTCAAATGTTTACTCGAAAAGTATTTGGAAGTGCTTAGGAAGAAGCGCCTAAAATGTGTTTCCACAATTCAGAATATTTTAAACTTTTAACACTTAATTTTAAGAGTACACTTTTTGACGTTACAAAAAGTCTCAAACAGTCGCAGTTTTTATATCACAAATTGATATTCATGAAGCAATATCACTTATGTACCTTGGTGCGAGTTTAATTCGTATAAATCCACCTGTTTTTAACCATTAACAATTAACACAGTAATATTGTTGTTTGTAAAAATAAAAAAATAAAAAAATTTCAGAAGTTTAACAGCCAACTTTTCAGGCCCAATAAGGCCCATTAAGTCGAAATCATTTGTACCGTCGGTTCATAACGAGTCAGATGACCATTGCAGCAGTCACTCTCTCTATTCGCTTCCCTTCGCTTCGGAATTGTTTCCGATCCGGACCTTAGTGTTTAGATCATAGGGATTAATTCATTTAGGTCACATAAATTCAATTTAACAGTCTTTATTAACTCATTTTCCTGACCATTACACAAAATCAACGATTCTGATTTCTTTTACACATCAATCAACAACCTAGATGAATCCGGTTCCCTTCGCTTCACCCTCTCTTGCCTTCGATTTTGATTTCTTTTACACATTAATCAACAACCCAAATGAATTAATCCCTAGACTCCAGACACTATGGCCCGGAGATCCGGCTCCCTTCGCTTCACTCTCTCTTGCCTTCTGTCACAGTACACGTGTCAACCACAGAATCCTTCTCACCGCTCCATAAATACCAACCTGCCAATGACCCCTCTTCCTCACTCTCCCCTCCTCGGTCCCGCCGTCTGAGTCTCTCCCCCTCCTCCTGTAATTTGATCTCGCCGGAGCTCCATCAATGGCCGCCGTCGCCGGAGCTTCCTCAATCTCTCTCCTCCGCTCCGCCACCCAACAGTTCCACCAAAATCTCGTAAACCCCATTTCTTTGATTTCACTGTTAATTTACAATTTTGATCATTTTTAGTTTTTTATAGTTCATTTTATTTGCTGTTAATTTTTAATTTTAGTAACAATTAATTATGTTGTATAGTTTTATCGATTATACAGCTTTATATTTTGTTGTGTTGGTGTTGGAATTATATGATTTTACATATATAATTGTAATTTTGAAATTGTACCCAATTGCACATGTTTTGATTGGTACTGATAAAAAATGCATGAACAATTTGAATTTTACTGAATTTTTTTATTTGAATTTTGTTGAATTATTCATTTTTGAACAGGCATTATCCAGGACAAATGGTTTGAAGTCGGTTTCACTTGCTGGTTATGGAAGAAGCTCCCTTTCTTTGGGATTGCAGCAACGCTCCTTGCGGCTTCGTGTTTCCTGCGCTGTATGTGTTTCTGTGTGAATTGTTCTTATTTTATGCTTAGATCTTTACACATTGTATTCTTCATGGACAATAATTTGGTGTTTCGTCGTAAGTGTCAAAAGTTTCAGTCTTCAAGTTCAAGGTTTTGTTTATGTGCACAATTCAATCCGAGCTTTATACTTGCAACGCAACAGAGTAAAGCTCGGTTTTGAAGTGAAACGTGAACATTCTTTTGTGAGAAAGCCGGCCTTTATTTGAAAAACGTAATAAGGTTACAGTCATCGTGTTGTTGTGAGTTGTAGCAATGCTTACTGTTTGCCATTGAGCAGGCTAAACCAGAAACAGTGGCGAAGGTGTCTAAGATAGTAAGGAAGCAACTTGCATTGCCAGATGACTCTGCTGTTACCGGCGAGTCAAAGTTTTCTGAACTTGGAGCTGATTCTCTCGATACGGTACATTCTGTAATTGTTAATATGTTAACATGCTACTTGACACATTGTTTTCCCTGAATTTTGTCTTCCTATAAGCTGGTTTTGCTCTGTTTGTAAGCTAGAGATCGGCCGTTGTTTTTTTTTCTTTTCCGGTTGTTATTTATCTGTAAACTTGTTACATATAATTCTTAATCCCCCTTATAATGGATCTCTCTTCAACCGGAGTCGTTCTATCCTGTTCTTGGTGAAATATTTGTCCTTTTTATAATTTTAAGTATTTTATTCCTAGGGAGTGAAGAATTAAGAGACCATCGGGGTATTTTTCAGTATCAAACTCTAAACTTCTCTTGTTTTTCTATCCGTGTTAGTTACCTTTCCTGTAGTTACGTACATTGTAATATGTTGTATGTTGTACTTCCAACTTATTTCGATGTAAATCTGCATCCAGGTTGAGATTGTGATGGGACTTGAGGAGGAATTCGGTATTAGTGTAGAAGAGGATAGCGCTCAGGCCATTGCAACTGTGCAGGATGCCGCGGATCTTATTGAGAAGCTCATTGAGAAGAACAAGGCTTAGAAGCGATGGAAACAGAGTCGAGTAGTATTTTCATATCCTAGACAGCTTTAGAGATAAGTACGCGGTAAACTGGTTTTGTACTCGTCTTTTTGTGTTAATCCGAACCTTGTAGTTGAGTGGTTTTCTTACGAAGTTAAGAATTTTTGAGTTCGTGTATGTTTTTCGGTCCCTTTCTTTTGCTCGGTGGAATTCTGATCACTTGAAGAATAACCTTAAAATGTCTGCTGACATAGTTCAAGTGACATTCTAGGTAGAACAGTTCACGGAAAAGGCAAATTAGACTTATAACATCTCTGCTAGTTCTAAACTAGTCTTAGGCCCTGTTTGAAAATATTTCTTCCAGAAGCACTTATCTTCATAAGCATTTTTAGTAAAAGCACTAATATTAATCACATTGAAATGCAAGCACTTCCAAACAGAATGACATAATAAGTGTTTCTTCCAAAAAGTCGGATGCTATGCTTTTGATAATATGAAAAGTTGAAAACGCTTTAGTGCTTTCTATTGGATTGAGATCCTCTTTGGATCTCAACACTCTGGAGCCCATAGATTAAGAAATGCGGACTACATGATTTAAATTGAACGGTTTGAACACTCTGGAGCTCACAGATTGAGAAATTCGAACTACATGATTTAAGTTGAACGGTTTGAATTTTTTAGTCCGCGTGAATCCGAGATGCAGAAGAGTAATTATTTGAACTCTGTTCATCTAAATTCATAATCTATTGATGAGATAATTATGATAATTTAAGATACACTTTGAATAATCTTTCAGTTGACATCATAAAGTGGAACATCTGCATCAGGCTTAACCCTTGGAAGTAAGTTAATGAAGTCAACATTTATAGGTTTGAAATACCTGGCAAACGGATCATGTTTGTTGTGTTCGTGTTATACCCATTATATTAACGGGTTATGTTGTGTAAAACCCGTTATCTTAACAGGTTCTTAACAATATCGGGTGATCAGATTCTACTTTGCTTCGTTGTTTCGTAGAGATTGCTAGGTAAAGAACTGAGTTCCCATGTCTGTCCTTCACTTCATACACCTGTTCCGGGGAATTGAGTTCTTCACGAGATAATAGCTTGCGGCTCAAGATCCAAATGCGAGCGAATATTCAAAGATGTCAGTGTTAAATGTCAAAACTCTTATAAAATAAATCCATTCAAATTTGGAGATTGGACATACCACTGAATAAAAAACAAACAATCAGTTCAAAGCTTCTTGTTTATTTTGTTTTCTTCTTACTGTTCTAAAAATCTCCGTCTAGCGCCTCCTAGGTCCTGTCTAAGCGCTAGGTGGCTGACCACTGTCCGGATTAATGCTTAGGCGTTTGAAAATTAAGAAATGACGCCTAGACCGCCTAAGCACCCACATAACCCGTCTAGACCCGCCTAGACACCTGCCTAGGTTGCAACTCACTTAGATAGAAAATAGATAACTTTTCTTTTCCAATAAATTGTAAGAGACTTATTGAACACTTAAATAAACACACATGATATGTTTGCTCCCTATATTTTTATTATATTCCAATACTTTATAATACATATGTCATTCTATTTTCTAGTTTATGATGAAATTATATATATTTTAAGTATAAACAGACACTAATTTACATGAAATACAATAAATGTACTTAGATACGCCGAGGCACCCACCTAGGCGCTAGGCCCCAACTCGCCGTCCGACTAGCGCCTAGTGTCTTTTAGAACCTTACTTCCCAGCCGTCAATAACAATTTACAATAACAATTTTATCACCAAATTAATTCAAAGAACCGAAGGATCCATTTTCCGAGAGGTTTTGTAAGCCAGATTGCGACAGGGTGTCTAGCCCATTTGGCAGCAAGTCCGACCAAAAAGGGCAAAACCGATGTGAACACGGTGATAAAGAGCCCGGTGTTATACGATGGTGCAATGTTGACAACCGCAGTGCTGTAGGTGGTGTATACCGCTATGATGCAGATTTGAAGCTCCAACTGGAGAGGGAAATTGGCTGTGAGGACGATCATGGTGTAAAGAGAAAAGTAAAATCCAATCGAGTTGAAAACCACAAAAATGACGAATGAAACTTCACTATAAGAACCCATGATGGACCTTCCTGCCAAGTGTACTGGTTCATTGCTGCTGCCAGTCCCACTATTATTCACATCATTACTGTCCTGCCAAATTCCATTTGGAGGGTTGAGTCCCACTTGAAAGGTGGCCGTAGCCACTAGTGAAGCGACTACTAGCAGCGCGTTACGTGCATCGCTAGGACTGTCTCTGCCCTTTTTGAACTGGAAGTATTCCCACCTATTTGTCTTCTGCTGCTCCTGCTGCTCCTGCTGCAACTGATGAGTCTCTGATGACGTGTGGTTATGGTTAGGGCTATGAGAATTGGAGAAATTGGACACCGGAGTGGACTATATCTCCTGCTCTCAAAGCTCCAGCACCACGAAGGATTGCCTCCATTTCCCAATCACCGGTTTCATTTGGGAAGACCAGATCCAAAGCTGTGAGACCCCTATCGTTTACAGAATTTACTTCCAAGGCTCCTGCAATTGTTTCACTGCCAACTAATCCTTCCACCACCTGCGATCATTAGTCAACTAACAAATCAATATGGACTAAAATTCATGGGTACTGATCAACGGTTCAAATAGTACTTGCCTGATGTTGTTTTTTCCAGGTTGCTAGATGAAGAACTGTGTCGCCATGCTTATCCTTCATGTTCAAGATGTACACCTTGTTCGCTTCTGCAACCAATTCCACCAAAAATTTAATTGCTTTAAACTGGCTGCACTTAACAGCAAGGTGAATAACAGTCTCCCCTTGTACGGTCACATCTTCAACACTTTCTGGACAAGCCAAGACCATTTCTCTAATTACGTCTACCCTCCCCCTGCTAGCGGCATAGTGGAGAGGAGTCCACTCATCTCTTCCGTTTAGCTGGCAGAGTCTCCGGTCAACCCTCAGCATCTCCCTTACAATTTCCAAATACCCATTGGCGGATGCAATATGCATGGGGCTAAAACCATCCCGGTTCAGTTCTTCGACATAATCTGGTTTCAACCTCACAATCTCCTTGACAAAGTCGACATGCCCAGCAATCGAAGCAACATGTAAAGGATTATCTGTGGAAGTTAGGGCAAGGCTATGGAGTAGAAGTGGATTCTCTGCCAGCAATCGATGCAGAAGTTGGACATCTCCCGTCTGAGAAGCGTCAAACAGCCTTGCATCCATTGTAAAGGGTTGTTTTAATTGATACGCACCTCATCTCCATTGTAATGTGTCTATATATATGCCTGAGCAGGTAAATAGTTTTTCACCAGATGAAGAATAGCTTGACATACTCAAGGTTCAAATGCGCGTGAATCCGGGATGCAGCACTCTCAAGGTCGAAGAATACTTCACCATATAAACATAACCTGTTCGGGTTTGTTAAGGGGCAAAATTCCAGGATCAGACACGTACCAGACTAATTGTTTGAAAGAAAACTAATGAAAATGACTTGAAAACTTTTAAGTTTTAACGATAAGGACAAAATAAAGGGTAAAATGAATAGTGCTATAATTGACTTTGTAGTATAAAAATGTGGTTTTTCGTTAAAGTGAACAGTACCGGGAACTTTTCGTTAAAGTTCTCTTGTTTGAACTCTATTCATGTAAATTCATAATCTATTTACGAGATAACTATAATAATTCAGGATAAACTTAGAATAATCTTTCAGTCGAAATCTCGTGACATCATATAGTGGCCTCAGCGTCATTCGTTGGAAGTTTGAAACAATATTGCGGATACCTGAATGGTAAGGAGTCTTGGAACATAGAAATAACATTTGACAAGTAAAATATCGGTGTTTCAAGATGTTACATCGCCATCAAAGCTCGTTCATCGTTCAATCGGGAAGCAGTAAACAATACCAAAACTACAGCACGGGTCCTTTTAACTCTATCGCGGCTGTAATTCCAACGAATCCACTCCATCAAAATTTTAGTAGACTTTCCATTGCCAACTAACCATTCGACGCTTTGCTGTGCTTTGAAAAAAAAACTGCTTCTGTTGTACTGTGAGAATAAGCTCATTTTTGTTGCTTCACTGTTTTTAAGTGTTTACAACCTTTTGAGTTCAACTTTTGTTGATAACCACTTTTTATAAAAGCATCTCAGTACCAAACCAGTACTAAGGCTACACTATTTATTTCTCTTCCTACAATCTGTAAGATTGGCTCAAAGTTTCGCGCGCGTCAACAGGATTGTCATACTCCATATCAACGACAATATCAACCCTAGTTAGGCCACCATGAACATCTGATGAAACCAGAACTAAAGCTTATTCAGAACACAAACAATCTCATTTACTGGAGACAGACACATAGTAGTAGTCAAACTACTATATTCCTATGGCGGGCGGCTTCGGCAATAGCAACATAAATTGTGGGTTTTACCCACGGTTTTTTTTACAGGTTGACAAGTATAAGTGATTCAAGTTTTGTGTCCCAATGCGAACATATTTCAGATAAGACAAAACGATCTTGTAAAAAATTTGCAATATATATTCCGATAACAATTTTGTATGTTCTTCATTTAGGTACATTAATACATTTGAATATTTTGCTATATCCATCAGTACAAACATGTAGTTATATTGATTCAATATAATGCATTTCGGTCAATATATTGCATTTCGTTACGTACACTTTGGTACACACATTTGAGTATTGACTTTTAGGTACATTAATTCAATTATTATATTTCGGTAAATACATTTAGGTACATACATTTTGGTATTGATATTTAGGTACATACATTTTTGGTATTGACATTTAGGTACATACATTTTGGTATATACATTTCAGTACGTACATTTTGGTACATACATTTCAGTATTGACATTTAGATCATTAATTCAATATAATACATTTCGGTACATACATTTAGGTTCATTATAATATATTTCGGTACAACCATGTAGGGGCAAATATTTCGGTACAAAAAAGTCAATTTTATATATTTTGGCACAATTATTTTTGTACACTTATGTATTTATATATTTTTGTATCACAAATTTTATTTAATATTTTCTCATTTAAATTCATTTCTAATTAAAAAAAACCTAAATATGTGCATATTAATAAAATTAAAATTTAATATGGAGAGATTAAATAAAAATACAC